CTTACCATCCGACTCCGGCTAAAACACCTAAACTCCATGACTCTGACTCCGACTCCACAGCCGTGCCAGGGCTGTGGAGTTGCGTAAAAATCTTACCAAAATCAGTAAAAAATAAGCAAATTTTCTAAATATGAACATAGAAAAAGCATCAAACAATCTTTTGCTTCTTGGAAAAAAAAGACATTTGTTGATTGTGATGTTTCTAAAGGGAGCCAGCCCTTCAATTGATAGATGAGTGTATTTGTGATAAACATCTTATTAATGACACTGACAACAAATTGTATAAAACTGTTCTCTACATTTATTAATTTATCTACAAGACAATTGTAAATTATATCTTTAATAAACACAGTTCAATTCTGCATCAGTAGATCTACTAACTGATTATGTTTTACTTCCACAGCTATATGATTTCTTGTAATTGGGTTTTCTGCAGGTTCATTATAATCATCAACAAATGCATCATCTGTACAGTCAATGTCACCTTGATTAATGCATAAATTATCTAATATATATGATGTCATCGACAAAATGTTTTCCATATCCAGGTATTTCAGTCAACAAAATCACCCTTTTAATAGACCTATGGTTTGCTCTACCTCAACTCTGATAGAACTGTTTTCTGTTAAAATTTTTTTGTTTGGCAATAAGATTACCTTAATATGTGGTTAATTCAGAATCAGTGGAGAGACACTCAGATGAAAACATATTAAACTGGTTAAGGTATCTTCCTTTAATATATGAATTAATGTACAAAAGTCTTTACATAGCAGTAGGACGAACGTCCGCACGTGTCGACAGTCAGTAGTTCTAACAAAGGAACAGGTTAAGACAAAGGGTCATAAAACCTTTTGTTTGGTTATTGGGTAGGTCCCTCTAGTGGGTCAAATTGGTATGCGTCGAGAGTATCGACATAATATTTATAAGGTATAATTAAAAATGTATCCAATGGATATGCTGAATCTCCAATTAAATAATAGTTATCTCCTAAATATGTTGAAGATTCATTAAAAAACAGCATAAATAGGACTGCTGCCAAACCCAAGATTCATTAGCACTACCACGCCAACCAACAAATGCATCAATAATTTGCATTTCAGAATCACAGATTATTTGTAACAGAATAGAGTGGCTTCCTTTCCTGTTGTAATAACTCTGGCTGTCTTCCTTTGAAGCATTTATATTTGTGTGTGTTCCAATAAAATAAAATAACTTACTGGAATGTAATTAAAATAAAATAATCAAACCACCTTACTATTTCCAGCAATGTATTTAATAAATTAAAAACGTTTTCGACTATATTTAATAGTCTTCATCAGTTTTTGTATTTGTATAGTAATTGTATAGCTTACATTCTATTTTACGTTCGTTTTCCGTTTTAAAGTTCGTAACTGATGAAGACTATTAAATATAGTCGAAAACGTTTTTAATTTATTAAATACGTTGCTGGAAATAGTAAGGTGGTTTGATTATTTTATTTTGTGTGTGTTCCAACAACACACCCAATTATCCCAGGCAACGAAACAGTACATATAATTCTTCAAATTCACTACTGTTCTTTCCAAGTTATCAATTGGCCATCTAACAAACTTGCCAATCATACAACACATTTTTTCACGGAAGTCAATAAAGATTGTATGTGCATGACCATTATTTACATCAAACCTATCTCCACTACTTCTAAATGACTCTTGATTAGCAAGAATCCAAATACTTAATAATACTTACTTTGTAGCTGAAATAAGAGGTCGCCCTTTTTTTATGTTGATTTCTCTCTTTAAATTTATTAATTTTATAATTTTCTATAAAAAATAAATGCATCATCAGTTAATTTAGAAATTAATAGAAAATTTAGCTTATTCTAAGTTAAAAATTTACTTCTGTTGAAGTTTATGTGAGTCTAAAATGAGACTTGAAGTCATCCATAGAATATGAAAGTACTATCACTTCAATGTAATTTCTTATCTTCTATTGCTTAGATTTTTTTGCATTCATTTGAAACAGCAATGTTGATAAAAATCAATTCACAATAAACCTTTGACCAGTAAAATATTTATTTGAAAAACAAACGTTTTCGACTGTATTCTTTGGCCTTCTTCAGGTTAAACGTTTCGAGATTCGAAAAGCCGTTGTGCTTACAGCCGAAGAATACGGTCAAAAACGTTTGTTTTTCAAATAAATATTTTACTGGTCAAAGGTTTATTGTGAATTGATTTTTATATACATTGATCCAGTACCTGGTGAGAAGAAACCTTTACATAAGGCAGCAATGTTGATCATTAAATTTTTATAATTGTTTTTTTATTGTGTTGTAATTCTTTAAATAATACATTGCTTTCTAAAACAGAAATTAGTGAACAAGTGACTGTGCCATTTTGCTTCAGCAACAACCATTTGTAAAATACTGTGCAGTGACATGTAATGGTTGCTGCTTATAACTTCATTTACGCTACATTTTCGCTGAATAAAAAAAAATACAACCATAATGAAGAACACTTCCTGGATATAAATATGACTCTTCAAAATATGTTGGATAATGTTGTGGAGACACTGCCTTTTTCTCCCAGTGAAGAATGAATACTATCTTTTGACAAATGCATATAGCTCATCAAGCATACGTTGGATAATGTTTCTAACAAACACAAAAGAGCAGTATCATAAAATTTCACATAAAGATGATTTTAAACCAACTGAAATTTAGTGCAGATAGGAAGCACAGTATGGAAAAACAACTGTTGTCAAAAAAAAGTAATGCAATTGTATGGATATATTAATACTAAAGTGTTCTACAAGCCAAATTATTTTAGCTCAATATGCAACAGAGCCTGGGAAGTTTGCAAATCTAAATGAAGCAAGAATGATAAAAAAAAAGTCTAAGAGTTCTAAGAACATTGGAAATATTCAAGACCACATTGAAAAATGGAAGTATTAATCATAAAGACTCAGAATCTCTATCAGTTGCTCTTTCCATGGCAAAGGAATATACAGAATATACAAAGATATTATAGTAATGCAGCTTTGTTCATTTACTGTCGAGACAATAGCTGCTTTATCAGGCACGTGGTAAAAAAGCTTTAATACAGTTGGATAAGCAAGCCAATGACATAGCTTGTTTCATTTAAAATAAATTATGTCATTTACTTGTTTATCCAGGTGTATTAAAACCATCTTACCAGGCAATGTACCCTATAACTTAACTCAATAATTATTTTTTTTGCTGTACATAAATAATTTAAAATTAAGATTTTGGGTAAGTTGCTTTATATACTATTTTTTTAAAACAAAAATAATTAAAAATATGCTACAATATTCATAATTTTATTTTTTAAAAGAAAATTAACATTTCCTATTATATGAAAAAATAACTTTTAAAAATACCATTTTATCAGTGCAGGGAAAAATAGTTCTGCCTTCAATAGCAGATTGACAATTCAATAGTCTTACACTAAGTTTTCCAATATCTTCTTCATTCATATTTTGACATGATTTGATTTTAATTATGACCTAGAAAAAAAAAGTATAAATAATTTATATATTAATATCAAAATATAAATTTCTAAAGCAAAATGTTTAAATTACAGTAGTTATTTATAAAGAAACAAGCATAGCTTGACTTTTAATAACCAAACATCTATGAAGACAGTTCAAAATTGACTTGCTTATTTTGGTGTTACTTATGTCACAGTTGTCTAATTATAATATACAGTGTCTCCACAACCTGCTGTTGTGGAGACACTGCCTTTCTCTCCCAGCGAAGAATGAATACTATCTTTTGGCAAATGCATATAGCTAATCAAGCATATGTTGGATAATGTTTCTAACAAACACAAAAGAGCAGTATCATAAAATTTCACATGAAGATGATTTTCAACCAACTGAAATTTAGTGTAGATAGGAAGCACAGTATGGAAAAACAACTGCTGTCAAAAAGAAGTGGTGCAATTGTATGATATGTATCATATTTTATATAATTCCTCTAGTATAATTGATCTTAAAATTAACTTATAATGTAAAACAGCAAAACATTTTTCTTTTGATCCAAAAAATGTGCTGAAATTTCATGTAGAACTTCAGTCTTAGAATAATAATATACATTGGAAAGTAGAAGTTACTTTTAGTTATCTTGTGCATAGAGACTCCTATATCTAAACATAACTTCTACTTTAGGTTATCATTTATACTTAATTTACCAAAATATAAAAAAAATATATACTCTATAAATTGCCATTTTAACCATGATTTTTTAAAACCTGTTTTGAAATAATAAAATTTAGAGCTTTAAACATAATATTTATTTTATTTGTAAAAAAGTATTGAAAGTAATAGTTCATTAGAAATAGTATCTCAATAATTTGTAATAAAATAATATGAAGACTACATAAAATAATGATTTTAATTTTTCAGAATATCAAGAGAGTAATTATATTGTAAAGTACTATATTATTTTTCCGACTTTTCCAACGATTATCGACACGACTGTGTGCCAGAAATAGCCGTTCCCTAACAGGTACTTTACATGGATTCGCGTTAGTGTGCCAGGCCTGGACTTTAAGCATGCACCGAATTAAATAATGACAAAGTTTGTCAAAAACAATCCAATATTTAATAAAATTTCTAGTAATAACTATATACAAAATTTAGTAAAAATCAAATAACAATTTATTCAATGAAAATCAATAAGAATCAACCCGACAAAACTCAATCAATCTATTTTCTAACTTAACTCTATTCNTGTTTCATTTAAAATAAATTATGTCATTTACTTGTTTATCCAGGTGTATTAAAACCATCTTACCAGGCAATGTACCCTATAACTTAACTCAATAATTATTTTTTTTGCTGTACATAAATAATTTAAAATTAAGATTTTGGGTAAGTTGCTTTATATACTATTTTTTTAAAACAAAAATAATTAAAAATATGCTACAATATTCATAATTTTATTTTTTAAAAGAAAATTAACATTTCCTATTATATGAAAAAATAACTTTTAAAAATACCATTTTATCAGTGCAGGGAAAAATAGTTCTGCCTTCAATAGCAGATTGACAATTCAATAGTCTTACACTAAGTTTTCCAATATCTTCTTCATTCATATTTTGACATGATTTGATTTTAATTATGACCTAGAAAAAAAAAGTATAAATAATTTATATATTAATATCAAAATATAAATTTCTAAAGCAAAATGTTTAAATTACAGTAGTTATTTATAAAGAAACAAGCATAGCTTGACTTTTAATAACCAAACATCTATGAAGACAGTTCAAAATTGACTTGCTTATTTTGGTGTTACTTATGTCACAGTTGTCTAATTATAATATACAGTGTCTCCACAACCTGCTGTTGTGGAGACACTGCCTTTCTCTCCCAGCGAAGAATGAATACTATCTTTTGGCAAATGCATATAGCTAATCAAGCATATGTTGGATAATGTTTCTAACAAACACAAAAGAGCAGTATCATAAAATTTCACATGAAGATGATTTTCAACCAACTGAAATTTAGTGTAGATAGGAAGCACAGTATGGAAAAACAACTGCTGTCAAAAAGAAGTGGTGCAATTGTATGATATGTATCATATTTTATATAATTCCTCTAGTATAATTGATCTTAAAATTAACTTATAATGTAAAACAGCAAAACATTTTTCTTTTGATCCAAAAAATGTGCTGAAATTTCATGTAGAACTTCAGTCTTAGAATAATAATATACATTGGAAAGTAGAAGTTACTTTTAGTTATCTTGTGCATAGAGACTCCTATATCTAAACATAACTTCTACTTTAGGTTATCATTTATACTTAATTTACCAAAATATAAAAAAAATATATACTCTATAAATTGCCATTTTAACCATGATTTTTTAAAACCTGTTTTGAAATAATAAAATTTAGAGCTTTAAACATAATATTTATTTTATTTGTAAAAAAGTATTGAAAGTAATAGTTCATTAGAAATAGTATCTCAATAATTTGTAATAAAATAATATGAAGATTACATGAAACTATGATTTCGTTTTTTCAGAACATCGAGAGAATAATTATATGTAAATTATTAACAAAAATGTTCAGTGCTGTGAAGTAACCGGTTGNTTCATTAGAAATAGTATCTCAATAATTTGTAATAAAATAATATGAAGACTACATAAAATAATGATTTTAATTTTTCAGAATATCAAGAGAGTAATTATATTGTAAAGTACTATATTATTTTTCCGACTTTTCCAACGATTATCGACACGACTGTGTGCCAGAAATAGCCGTTCCCTAACAGGTACTTTACATGGATTCGCGTTAGTGTGCCAGGCCTGGACTTTAAGCATGCACCGAATTAAATAATGACAAAGTTTGTCAAAAACAATCCAATATTTAATAAAATTTCTAGTAATAACTATATACAAAATTTAGTAAAAATCAAATAACAATTTATTCAATGAAAATCAATAAGAATCAACCCGACAAAACTCAATCAATCTATTTTCTAACTTAACTCTATTCCCCTTTGGGTTTCGACAAAATTCAAAGACTTAACTTATGTACAATAATTCTTATGAATTAAAGATCCTAATCGTCACCTCAATATACTAGGAACCCTTTTCCTCAACTCTCAAGACTTTCTCTAATCTTCGATCCACAAATCAAATAACTTCAAAAGCACCTTGGAACTATTTTATCCTATCGAACACCTCTCTTTCGTTTGCTGCTACGAAGCTCACCAAGCTCGTTGATAACAGAAGCTCACCTCGTCCATCTTCACTTGAGATTCGGACTTTATACTGTGAGGTGACGTCACAACTCTGAATGCAATCACTCCCCTCATTTACATACTTATTTGCTAACAATAAACTTTTTCTATTTGTCTGGCAGCCTATTTTCCAACAATACTCGCTAACTTTTTACATTATTCTTTTTGACAATTTTCGGGATGTTTTTATTCTTTAAGGTTTAGCAAGGTTCTAGGTTATGCTTGTGGGGTCTCCCCCCTTTTCTCGGTGCGGAGTTACTTTTTTCCACTCGGGAGCACAAGTGTTTGCAAGTTTTTCCTACGGCGCTTTTCTCTCATCAGTGAGTTGGTTTCTCTTCTATTTTGAAGTTTCTAAGGTGAATGGTGAGGAAACCTTCATCCTAACAAAACAAGCCCCAAACAAAAATAGAATAAAAGCAAAAATAAAAGTAGCTAAAAATAACGCTCGGACTTGGTTCCTTACAATATGTATTAACAAAAAAACATCCAAGTGCTATAAAGTGGCTGGTTGTAAATTCAACTGTAGAAATGAGAAAGAAACTTACCACTTTTGGTCTTCCAAAAGATGTATTATGAGCAGGGTAATTGAAGAAACTTCCTACAGATTTTAGTGGAGTAAAGAATCCTATTGTATGCATCAAGCATTTTGTAGAAGAGGCTATCAGAAAAGATAAGTGTGTAGTGAAAGGTGAAGTAAAGGAATACAGTAAACTCCCATACAATGCAGGAGATACATTCCACACTGCAGGAAATCGCGTTATAGGTGACATACAATATCAGACCAATTTATGCAAGTTCAAACATGTCTCTACATCTTAACTGTTATCGCATATTGCTAGTGAGATGATTCAGTTTGAAATATTATTGTGGAGAGAGATTTTGGATATGAATGAAACAGATATTACTGAATTAATTAATTACAATAAAGATATTGATGAAACAGAATTAATGAATTAGCAAATTGTTCTCATTCTATTAATGATAAGGAAAACTCATTCCAGACTTTTAATGAACCAGAGCAACCCTTAAATTTAGAAGATATAAATAAAGGGTTAGAAATAGCCAAAATGCTAGAAACACATTTTATGAAAATAGACCTGTCAAAAAAGCACTTTATGAAATTTAAAAGAAAATTTAATGATTGTCTATCCCCATATTTTAAATCTAAAAATGATCTGAAGAAAGAATTGTTTGTAAATAACCATAACAATAAAGACAAAACTATTGACTATTCAACCAATGAATCTGAACAACCAATATTAAAAAGACAGCGTCATCATAACTTATTGGTTGCTACTTCTGATAGTGAATAAATGTCAAATAATGAAATAATTTAATTTAAATTAAAAGTTGAATAAAATTATTTTTCTCTTATATCTTCAAATGTGTATATGTATTATTATTCTTTTTATAAACTCTTATTCTTTTATAAACTGCTGGCTTCACTGTTCATATATAAAAAACTGGTTAAGTGTATATTTTTGCTTTTCTAAATAAAAAATCTGAGACTATGTGAAAACATTAAATTTATCTTGTGTTATACAGAACTGTTTATCGTGCTGTACAAGTTCTAGTCGCAGAATTTTTGGTGCATTATAAGGGAGCGCGTTATATGGGTGTCCACTGTACTTGTAAAAAATACCAAAGTTAAAGTCAAATGCTGTACCAGCAATATTTCCTAGCTACCAAAATATTTAAGTGAAAACTCAAGTGGAACAAAACCAAGACTACTCTTATGTTGAAGAAGAAAATATGAAAAGAACACTTCAAGAAATTTTGATGTCATATAAGAGCTACATGGAAACAAGAGGTAAATTTATTGGAAGACATTTGTAGCTATTACCAAAAGAATTATTTTGATAAAAGATGAATTTTAATTAATAAGAGAAATAGAATATTTATATGTTTAATTGATTTAAGTGAAAACAAAGCCCCTTTTATAAATGGCTCAACTGTAATTAATAATATCAATACTTTACAATATAAAATTAATATGAATAATAAAATAATATGTTTACAAAAGATACTGCAAAAATTGCATGTTTTAAAAAAATCATACTACAGTAGAGTCCCGAAAACTCAGCACTCAATAACCCGGCAGTCCGGATAACTCGGTGCAAGCTGTTATCCTACCTTCGTTCCGCAAATGATGATAGTCAAGGTCTTATCCAGAACTTAAAGAAAATTAACCTATTGGATGTTGTTGGCTGGGCGGCGGATGCCTGGAGCAAGTTAGAGTCATTAACAGTAGTTCGTTCCTGGTGAAAACTCCTAGATAACGAGGAAAATGAGTTCGTTGAACATGATGACGCAGAAAATGTAAACTTACTCGACCTCCTGAAAAGAATTCCTGGATGTGCAGAAGCCGATGAAAATGACGTCAAACAGTGGTTCCAGAACGATATCGAGCAAGACATTATGTCCAATGCAGAAATTATTGCTGCTGTCACAATTAATGAAAAAATGCCAGAAAATGATGAAGACATTGACGTTGAGAACTCCACTGTACAAGCTCCTAAAATATCACATAGTGAGGGACTAAAGGCTGTCGAAACCACCCTTCAGTATTTTGAATAACAAGGTGCGTCGGTAATGGACTTACTGTTCCTTCATCGTCTTCGTGACGAAGCAGCAAAATGCAGAGTGCATTGCGGAAGACAAGACATTACGCATTTCTTTAAAAAAAAGTAGCTAGTTTTTGTAAAGAAGTCGGCTAGTTAATTTTCATTATAGACAGCTTTATGCCTCAAAGTATTTTTCTGAGGTCTGTCTTATCAGGTAAATTACTGTACACTGTGTATTCATTAATTTTCATTTTCATGTAGTAAAGGCTCTGTGCCTTCATAAAGTACGTACTTTTCCTTTGTTTAAGGGTATTTGGGCAGTTTATTCTCTGTTGTATTCTCAAGCAAACAAGACATACAGTTGACAGTTATGAAAGAGATGGCCTTACCAATATGTATAGCCCGGGGAAAAAGGGGGGAGGAGGAGAGAAAAAACATACAAGTACAGTACAGTATTTTCTGAGGAAACACTCGTACTCATTCTTTTTTAACCCCATTCCCAATAACCCGACATTTTCACAAACTCGGCCACCCTTCGGTCCACATTAGGCCGAGTTTTCGGGACTCTACTGTATTTTAGATGACCCGTTTAATTTTATTGAAAATGAACTTATTAGTTATGAAAGTGGATAAAACTATCAAAGAAATTGAATGTATAACTAATCATGATGATGAGAGATGTCAGCTGCTTCAAATGAAAATAAAAGATACAATGGATACACACTTATTTTGGCAGTATCATATATATTCAGATCCTATCTTCAAACTGTTTACAAAAAAAAAAAAAATGTAAAATTGCTTGTGAAATTATAACAAATAATTATGTGAAACTTCAAAATGATAAATCTAAAAATCATTCTCAAGAAAAATAAATATTCTATTACTTTATATTTTTTAATCATTTTATCCCTTACTTTCTAATGTCTAATTACCTTTTACTTCCGTCAACATATAATCTATAAAAATGTAGAAAAATATCACCTGTATAAAAATTTTATGTATATTTTCAATATAATACTTCTTGTATTATGTAAATCACTTTTTGTATTAATTTCTTCTTTTATTCATTGCTAACGGTATGAAGATTAATTTCCTCTACTAAGATGTTTTAATGTATGTAAAATATATAGATAAGAATGTAAGAAATTTCAATAAAAATATTTTAAAAATCTATATTGCATTATTTTTATAATTGCATTTATATTCATAGCAGAATTTTCATACATAAGTTTTTAAATTAAACATTATTAAAAATAAATTTATTATATATACTGTATACGTACTGTATATAAACCCAAGCAAACACGTTTTCCATTTCATAGACTAAGTTGGCCACGTGACCATCTCGTAATCTCTACGCGGACGGGTTGGTCTTTCTCGTTGGCCCGGGGAATTCTTGAAGTGACGTCACGATGACGTTTTTCTCGACACGTTCCCACTTGTTTTGTTAAGGAAAGTTTCCCTTCATCAGTCGTGTTCCTACACGATTATCGTAACTTGTCGTGTTCACGAGTTAACGACACCATTTTACCACTCTTAATGTCGCTTTTTCTCGTAAATGAAATGTATTGTGGTGAATTAAAGTAATGCATTTTGTTAATATCGATGAATGCGTGCGTGATTCTTAATAAACGAAACAAATAACCACAATTAAAAAATTCATTCGTAACTTTTAAACGGTTGATTGTAAGTAATTTCAGCGTATCAAATTACATCTAGATATACTGTATCTATCTGTATTCGTTATTATTAAGGCTAAGACGATTTTTTAGCTGGAGACCTATTGCTTTAGTCTAACCCAAATAACTAATGTTTATTGCTTAGGATCTAAACATAGCAACACGTTTTTTTCAAGAACCGTTACTCTAATAAACACCAGTCGACGTTACCTTATGATAGCAGGCATCTAATTCTGATGTTTGTAGTCCATATTCTTGAGCTTCTGCTAAAAATTTCTCATCGGCAACGGTCAGTTCAAAGGGAATGTTGACAACAGCACCCACTTCGCTTCCTTCTTTTTTCTTATCTTCTTCGCGAATTTCCGCTCCAAATAGCCAGTCCAGGAAGCATTCGGATCTGTTAAATAGGAGCAGAAATATTACAAATCTCACGTGCATCACAAAATCCATCTTGTTTGTTTTATTTGCAAAGAAATCGTCTCAAGGTTAACGTTTTTAAATGCCGCGCCTCATGCGCCCTCTGCGAATGTAAACATTAACTAATTCTCTATACGCAACTGTAATCCTTCGATGGCGCCACTGAAAATTTTGTTTGAAAACTTTCTAAAATAGACATATTATTTTAAAAATTTATATAACAATTAATTTTCTTAACATAAAGGTAACATTAAATCGAAAAATATCTAATATAAACTTTTAATTACCGATTCTTATTCTACTGCGGAGTGGTCGAGCGGTTAAGACGACAGCTTTCCGCTCTTGGGAATATATATATATATCATCATCATCATCAACCGTTATCAATCCACTGCAGGATGAAGGTCTCACCAAGCCTCTTCCGCAATCTTTTGTTTTGAGCACTTCGCTTCCATGTTGTGCCAAGATGCCTCTTGATCTCATCAACCCACCGAGTGTGAGGACGTCTTCTTGGTCGTTTCCGATCTCTTGGTATCCAGTCAAGAACTTCAGATGTCCAACGATGGTCAGTTCTTCCTGCAATATGTCCAGCCCACTGCCACTTGAGGGATTTTACTCTAGCGATGATATCGGTAACTCCTGTCATTTTCCTGATCCATGTTATACGTATCTGATCTCTCCTCGTTATGCCAAGCATGTTCCTTTGGGTAGTCTGTAGTCTTTGGATCTCTGATTTTCTAAGAGTCCAAGTTTCTGATCCATAAGTGAGAACTGGATATATATATATATATTAACTCTTTCCGCCCTTTTGGCACTAAGAGGGCCTCTGTTTGCAAGCCCATATGGGTTCGGCCAAGCCCACAATGGGGCTGCCGGGTGGTGAAGGACAGGCCCGACATATCCGAACGGATCCCCGAAAAATTCCTGGGAATCTTTCTGTTAGACTGGATGTTTCTTTTCGGAGATTAATAAAAACTGGTTAGACTCGCGTAACTGGCTTAAGTGCTTCTACATCGTTACATCGTTAGTGAAAGGGGGTGAAGCCCGTGCTACTCGGCGGTATTGCACGGGAGGAAGGACAAAGGGAAAGGGTGAGGAGAGAGTAGGAGGTAAGGGGAAATGTAAAGTAGATAGGAAAGTTGGTGAAGGGAGTCATGAGCGCCTGGCGCCGCAATTATTTAAAGTAAAACAGACATACAAAAGACGTACATACATANATTGTTATGCCACATTTCACCATACTATATCCAATAATGTCTTTCCTGTAGGATTTTTTAAATGCTTTACCATTTTTCAACTTTGGCAGATTAAAAACACTAATTATTAATTAGTCTTCACTATGACAGATGAAATAAAATCCTTCCACTGTGCAAATGATGTAGTTCGGCACACGCCTGGCTACCATACACGTTTTGTGCCCTTCAACGCCACCAGATTAGAAACGTCTCGTGAAAATCAATTTATAAGTTCAGCATTCTGATGAACTTACTTCCAGCCTGTTCGAGTTCCACGTCAAAAACGCATGTCGTCTCTATATACCAGCGTGCAACTGGCTTTTTCATTCAAACATTTTTAGACAGACCCTCGGCTGTTGGCAAACCGGAAGCACTCGTTTGTGCGTTCCACGCCATAGGTTGCAGAAGTGAAAGAAGCCACGACACCTCTGTGTATCATCGAAGAGCACGAAAGACGGCTGTTTACGTAGTCGGAGTGCAGAGTGCGTAGTGAGTGGCATCTCTGGTCACCAATGTTCCCTCTAATTTCTTTTGTAGATGAGCAGAACATATACTTCTCTGAGCAAAAAACTTTCTGCTAAGCAGATTGAGCAAAAAATTTTTCTGAGAATATATATAAAATCTTATTTTTTCCTATAAAAATTAAAATAATTAATTTTTATAGGAAAATGTAGTAGTAGAGATTAGTAGAGATTAAAATTCATTTTAAAACATACTTTTATACGAAATATTATCTCTTGTCAATGATTTAATGTATTTAATCGAAATATACGCAGCAATAATCATCTTGCAGACAGAATGAGAAATAAGTAAACAACAATTCAAATCAGTGTGTGCATGCTCGCCTGCGCGGCACGTAAATTCTCGTGCGCGGCAACAATTTGAGCAGTGCGCGGCCGCGCAGCTTAGATGGAACATTGCTGATGAGGGCCTTGTGGATGGCCGACCAGACGTGAGAGACGGGAATTGCCGCATAACTGTGGCTGCTGGCAATCCGGTTAGCCTTCCTGGCGACCAGGTCGGCCCGGTCATTCCCCGGCACCCCTGAGTGCCCCCGAACTCAGAAGAAATTCAGGACCGAGCACCTGTTAATGTCACTGATTAGTTGCAGGCTTTCTTCCACAATGGGCAATTTTCTGTTTTCTTTCCTAAGTTGATGTAGGGCTGTCCGACTGTCACTAATAATGTTGATGGCCATCTTCTTGAACTTGTCCGTATTATCCTTGATAAACCGAAGGGCGCGGAGGATCGCGTACGACTCCGTCTGCGCAATGGAGCAATGAGGCTTTAAGCTATAAGCTGCCTGCCAGTGCAGCATCCTTTGGGGGTCCGCCGGGACCACCGAAGCCCCCACTTCAGTGTTGGTCTTTGAGCCGTCGGTATAAAAGTTAATCTCGTGTTTCGGGGTGACGGGTTCGATATAAAAGTTGCTCTTAAGTGCTTCTACAAGGGGAGAATTTATAACAAGCGTGCTTGGTGGAGCAGACGCTTATCAGGGGGAAATCCACTGGACTCGATGGGGACTGGACAAAGACAACTATCAAAATCTACAAAATATTCCTTTAATATACTTGGGAGCATACAGCACTCCTAAAACAAAGATGAGACACAGGAAAAATAATGAGTCCGACAAATCTAGTATATCGCGTAACGTTAACAAAAATCTCTCGACAATAACCTGATCAAGCACACTTAACATGAATACATAGAAACATACCGACAGAAATGGGGTTTTGTCATATCCTTTCCTCTCCTTCACTCTGGGTAGAAAACAGTTCCAAATTCTGAAATCTCACACGGACTTGCTTGCACAGTCTTTTTCTTTTCTTTTTTTTACACACTTTCACCACCACTCTCACTTTCCTACTTCACCGTTCTCTGTCCACTTCCGTTCTGCTTTTCTCCCCCGAGGCACACCCTACCATAAAACTCCCACCCACGGTTACACACCCCAGAATTACGTAACTCCCTTCCACCGAGTCGGACCCACCACGTGGCGAAGGGGGGCAAGAAAAGACGTAAGGCACAAAAGATTAAACTGTCTTGACTCACAGCGCTGAAAGGGGGAGAGTAAAACGAGGTCACCGTCACCCCGCGTTTGTTTATGCAGCGAGAGTGTAGCAAAATGACGTCACGAGCAGTGTTGGCCAATTAGAAACCAGTTTCAGTGTGTTCGCTGTAAAGCGCTTCTCGAGCGCTGCATAAAGAAACGCGGGGTCACCAACGGCTCCCCGAGGGGTCAACAGCGCCACCAACCTTTTACTACGTAAAAGAAAAATATTTACAAAACATTAACGCGATACATTGCGTTGTACTGTACGTATCGATGTCATATAATATTTAACAATGACTTCATCGTTGATTCCAATACTTTCGACCCGTCCGGATTCGATCCCGGGTCCCCCAAAGTGGTAGGATATCATCTTGACCGCAAGCCATCCGGCCGCTCTTGGGAGTATTGAAAAAGGACATGTCGAAATATCCAAAAATTTTTCGGGGGTGGTCCGTTTGGATATGTCAGGCCCCAACCTTGGCCGGATCATCGCATAGACAAATGAGAGAAATGTCTAGGGCCCGGTTTTTAGAAGGGCCAGGTCAAACTGTCTATTTTGAATAGATTTGTAAATAAGATAGTTTACTTTTCTGTTGGACAATTGTATATCATAAACAAATAAACAAAAATATATTGCTTTTTATATGGTTATTGTGAATTATAAAATCTAAAGAAACTGTATTCTTATGATTCTTTTTATGAAAGTATTCAGAATTTTTTTTATAGCGATAAGAATAATATTAATTACAAGATGATTAGCCCGGCGTTGCCCGGGCAAAAAATAACAAAGGTTAATATTATTAGATTATTTCGTACTTCTAGTCTTTCTATTATATTATATGATATTATAGCCAGTTTAACGGCCCGATGCAGGCATTGGGTCATACTAAATAGTTAGCATGCATAGCAATGATAAATAATTAATTGCACAGCTGGCGCTCGATACGCCGACAGAGACTGCCCACTTTTTCAGTAGCAGCAGCGGTGGTTTAAATAATTAATTCATATCAATAATAAATTCCTATTACTAATAAAGATAATAATACACTGAATTATATTGTAAAAATATAAAATAAATTAGTTTTTCACATTATATAGTTTTGTTTTATTTATTGTTTTATATTTTTTGTGCGCTCTTTTTCTTGTGGGAGAGGGAGGCCCGATAAGAAGAAAATGTCTAAAGCTCTAAAGTGGGTTAATCCGGCCCTGGCCCCAACACCTATCCCTNAAAATATATTGCTTTTTATATGGTTATTGTGAATTATAAAATCTAAAGAAACTGTATTCTTATGATTCTTTTTATGAAAGTATTCAGAATTTTTTTTATAGCGATAAGAATAATATTAATTACAAGATGATTAGCCCGGCGTTGCCCGGGCAAAAAATAACAAAGGTTAATATTATTAGATTATTTCGTACTTCTAGTCTTTCTATTATATTATATGATATTATAGCCAGTTTAACGGCCCGATGCAGGCATTGGGTCATACTAAATAGTTAGCATGCATAGCAATGATAAATAATTAATTGCACAGCTGGCGCTCGATACGCCGACAGAGACTGCCCACTTTTTCAGTAGCAGCAGCGGTGGTTTAAATAATTAATTCATATCAATAATAAATTCCTATTACTAATAAAGATAATAATACACTGAATTATATTGTAAAAATATAAAATAAATTAGTTTTTCACATTATATAGTTTTGTTTTATTTATTGTTTTATATTTTTTGTGCGCTCTTTTTCTTGTGGGAGAGGGAGGCCCGATAAGAAGAAAATGTCTAAAGCTCTAAAGTGGGTTAATCCGGCCCTGGCCCCAACACTCATCATCCGGCCGACTCATCGGGGTATGGCCGAACCTATAATAGGCTTGCTAAAAAAGGCTCTCTTAACGCTTCCAATTCTATCCGGGATCGGTTCCGGGCCGTTAGCCGCCCGCCCGCTAGATATTTGGCCGATTACGTGAATAACGAGTAGATTTATAATTTAACCCAACCGATAAGAATTTACTGGTATGTTTTTACGATAGTTCTGTATAGTTGACGGGAGTTAAAAAAATCCATTAAAGTATTTGATATACAGGTAACCCCCGTATAACACGGCACTTCTATAGCACGGATTCACTCTAACACGGTCGAGAATTGGTACCATCCCCCGTATAACACGGTATTTTTATAGCACGGGTTTACTCTGACACGGTTCGAGAATTGGGTAAAACTCTCGTACAACAGGAAATGTAATAAATTTTTACATACTTAACTAATAATAGTTCACGAAAATTATTATTTTCGTGAACTATTAGCACTTCAGTATGTAAATTTTCTCTTCTCGCCTTCTGTCGATACAGGTGGTCCTTCTCGAAACTTGTTTCAATGTTGCCAGATCGCGACGCTTCTGCTTCTGATGTTGCCGAATGTTTTTCCCTTATTC